ACCATCTTGATGGTTCAAATTTGTCATGATCTTCTCCCCAAATTTTTGAATCATGATGAGCTGAATATATTGATACTGCAATTGGTGTTTTCTATTGATTAATTAAATGATATATACAAGAAGCAGAAAGAAAAAAAATTAAGTATAGATGTTATATATTTATAAATTAATAGATGTTAAATTGAAATTTTAATACTTTTGGAATAAAGTATCCATCAATTGTTGTATCAGTTTCACTATTTCTTGCTACTGCTGGTACTGATAAAATAATAATATGGTATTAGTATATATATGCATATATTATATGTATACACATACTTAAATATAAATAATTGATATTATAGCACCAAAACAAACAATAATAATAATTGCTGTCAAGATGATCAAATGGAAGAATAACTCTAACAGAAGAAACTATAATAACAACTATAGTCGAGATAATAACAATATAAGAGATAGTTTTGGCAAAACTATAATAATAATTATAGTCAGGATGCCAAAGGAAAGAGTAGACAATAAATTTTTGTAATAATAAAAGTTGCTGCTTCAAATGCTGGTCTCCTAAGCATCTTTATCAATATTGTACTCGTAACATAGAGAATCGCCACCACATCACATCAACAACAAACGGCATTTCTAGAAGGAAGCTAATTATTGCAAATAATAATAAGAAATAGAATTATTTTTTTTATAATATACTGTATTATTATAATTATCATTATTGATATAATAATTTTTTTTAATTTGTTATGATGTACGCACGCACACCCTAGAAAGATGCTCATTAGAGCCACCACACTTAAAAAGTTAAAGAACCTATTACTGCTTCCATATTATTGTTAATTACATATAAACAATTGATTTATCCATTTATTATTTTAGAAAGTATATTAACACTCGCTAGTTAATCCAAATTAGTCCTTACTTCACAATTTTTGCCTTTTTACCTTTTTACCAAGGTATTACTACACTTTAAAATTGGTCGTAGAATGCAATACAAAAAAAAATTTTTTAAATCATTTATAATGCACAACTTCCCCGTTTTACCATAAAATGGTGAACATTATATGAAATAAATGATTAAAGTTCACGTATATTAATATAATTGTTTAAGAAAAAAGATATCTTTATTAGATATTTGATATATTGCAACACTCGAAACACATGCCCTATTTGAAACCTTTGTTGAGAAATATCAAAAGACCCAGTTGGCTTAATATAAAACTAAAGAGAAGTAATGATGGAGTCTGGAGGGAATCCATCCAAAAGATTAAACATCTGGCTAAATATTTTTCCGAATTAATTTTATCAACCGAATTTTTATGTAATTACTCCATCCACTTTGTTCAAATTTTTTTAATGTTTCATTGTATCCATTCAAACTCATAATAATAATAAACCATTAGTATTAGAGAACCTTCTGTTTATTTTTAGTGTGTGACAGAATGAAGCATAGTAGAAATTATTTATATAAAAAAAAATTTTGATAAATGGTATATTTTCGATGAAAAATTTCTTGAAAAAAATTTAATGTAAAAATGGTTGATAATTTGTTAGCTTATTTACTTACTATAATTTTAGGTGCAATAAGTTTTTTCATTTATAAAACTTTAATTGAGCCTTTTTATTTGTCACCATTACGTAAAATACCTGGTCCACCTTCTGAAAGTATTTTGTTGGGAAATTTTCCAACTGTTGCAGCTGACGTAAATAATAGTATCTTCTTTATTTATTTATTCATTTTCTCTTAGGAAATTAATTTTTTATCCACTAAATATTAAATTAAAGATTGGAAAAGCTCATTTTGAATGGAAAAAGAAATATGGAGGAATATTAATATATCGTGGATTATTAAATGAACCAATTGTACTTTTAACAGATCCTAAATATTATCCACCAATATTGACAAATAATGCTTATGGATTTTTTAAAACAATGGAATTTACTACGGATTTAAGAATTGTATTAGGAGATGGGATTTTGTTTGCTGAAGGTGATCAACACAAACGTCAAAGGAAAATGATGAACCCAGCATTCTCTTTTACAAACTTGAAAGTAATTATTGTTATTAATATTAAATATTATTTTAATTTTAAATTGAATGTTTTGTTAATTACATTCAATTTGTAGGAAATGGTCCCTACAATTATCAATGTTACTAATAAATTGAATAATGTGTTGAATGATGTGATTGGTAATCAAGATGAAAAACTAATTGTTAATATTAATTCATATATATCAAAAGCTACATTAGATATTATTGGCTTAGTTGGTAAGTTTTAAAATATTTTTTACATTAGCTCAATATATTATTGCTCATATATATATATACATTGTTTATTATGAATAGGATTTCAATATGAATTTAATTCACTTAGTTCCGAGAATGAATTAGCAACTGCTTATGAAGCACTTTTTAATGTTAAATTAACATTCAAGAATTTCATGCTAATGGTTATTTCAAATAAACTCAAATGGTTTAGATCTTTGCCATTTGAAGAAAATATAAAAATGACTAAATCTGTTAAAGTTATTGAAAGAATTTCCTTACAACTAATTAGAGAAAGACAAAAACAGGCACAATTAAAAAAATTGGAAGGAAAAGATTTGTTGTCTTTATTAATCAATATTAATCAAGACTTGCCACCAGAAGAAAAAATGTCTGAACCAGAATTAAAATATCAAGTAAATTACATGCATATTATATTATATATTATTTTTGTTATTTTATTTGGTTTTAATTTATTTGTTGTGTGATAGATTATGACATTTTTAGCAGCTGGTCATGAAACCACAGGTACTGCACTTTCATGGTCATTATATTTACTTGCAAAGTATCCAGAAGTTCAAGATTGTCTTCGTCAAGAATTATTGGAAGCTTCACCAGATCCTGATTTAGAAACATCATTTGACAAAATAAATTCCTTAGAATATTTAAATTGTGTATTCAAAGAAACTATGAGAGTCATTCCACCAGGTATTTTATTATTATGATGAAAGATGGAAAATCAATATATCTATACAATTATTTATATTTAAGTATGTGTATAATAAGTGTAAGTATATATATACTAATACCATATTATTATTTATATCAGCACCAGCGATAGCAAGAAATAATGAAATTGATACAACAATTGATGGATACTTTATTCCAAAAGTATAAAAATTTATTTAATTCTAATTTAACATCTATTGATTTATATATCTATATAACATATATACTTAATTTTTCTTAATTAATCAATAGGACACACCAATTGTAGTATCAATATATTCAGCTCATCATGATTCAAAAATTTGGGGAGAAGATCATGACAAATTTGAACCATCAAGATGGTTAGATCCAAAGTTAACATCAGAAATAAATAATTATACCTATTTACCATTTTTAACAGGCCCTAGATCCTGTATTGGTTCTAAATTAGCCACAATTGAATTTAAGATTATTTTATCCTCTTTAATAAGAAAATTTAGATTTAGGGAAGTTGAAGGTTTCCAGGTCAAAAGGAAAATTGGTTTTATTACTAGACCTGATCCTGGAATTGATCTTTATGTTTCAAAACTGGAATAATAATAAATGTGCATGCTGTGTAAAGAATTTGTAAAGAATTACTTCAAAAACGAATTAAACACTTTCCTATGAACAAATACTTTAATTGTAGTAAAAATATAAGTAATCCTTTATTCTTTTAAAAATAATATCTTATTTGTAATCTCATCTATCTGAATATTCTTAAATTTAAATAGTAAAATAAATAAATTGTTTGGATATAATGTTTAGATTAGTTCTAATCTATTTCATTTTATCATGATTATAACGTAAATTATTACAAATTCAATGTCTGATTTGCGTTGAATTTCCAATAAAGAAAATTTCCCATGAAGTCACACATGTTATAAGATAATTTAATATTATTATTTCAAATAAATGTACTTTTTTTTTTTTTTGCATGGCACAGACACAGAAAAAACATATTACTTAAAGATCATTTATGTTCTTTTCTAAACTGTGGTGTTCCCAATGTAACTCAACACCATTTGGTAGCTTCTATAAAACTATCATTTTTCTTTTGTTCATTCAATATCATCATGAGTATACATGCAGCCCAAAGTATTTTGAAACTGTCATAAAGGGTTTACACTTATATTTTTAATAGTTGGTGCCGTAATTAATTTCTACTTTCTACCATTAATCAAAATTGGAATAATTTTGACCATCGAAATCACCAAACCAATTTGGGCCGCAAGCATAACATGAGAATAAGAACGAAATAGTAATGGGAATAATAAAAATTATTCTCTCTGTATGTATTGATATTGAATTTTTAATTCTGTTCATATTATAGTTATTATTATTATACACGATTGTCCAATAAAAACTGGCCAATAACGCTCCTATCCACAAAACTGCACGTTTTCATGTGACTTTGCATAATTTTATAATAGATAATACATATGTATGTCACTTGATCGTTGATTGGTGGACCAAACTAAAAATGATTGATAATTTGACAGCTTATATACTTACTATAATTTTAGGTGTAATTAGTTTTTTCATTTATAAATCTTTAATTGGACCTTTTTACTTGTCACCATTATGTAAAATACCTGGTCCACCTTCTGAAAGTATTTTGTTTGGAAATCTTTTGACTATTCTGAATTCTAATGTAAATAATTTACATTTTTTTTTTCTTAAATTTTTATTCCCTGAATAGTAAAAATAAAATATAATATTAAATTAAAAGGTCGGAAAACCTCATTTAGATTGGAAAAAGAAATATGGAAGAATAATTGTATATCATGGATTTTTAAATAAACCATATCTACTTTTAACAGATCCTAAAAGCTATCCACAAATATTCACTTCTTATGAATTTACTAAATCAAAAGATTTGAGTACAGATTTAAAACTTATATTAGGAGATGGAATTTTGTTTGCTGAAGGTGATCAACACAAACGTCAAAGAAAAATGATGAATCCAGCATTCTCTGTTACAAACTTGAAAGTAATTATTGTTATTAATATTAATGTTATTTTAATTTTAAACTGAATGTTTTGTTAATTAAAATTCAATTTGTAGAAAATGGTCCCTTCAATTATCAATGTTGCTAATAAATTAAATAATGTATTGAATGATCTGATTGGTGATCAAGATGAAAAACAAATTACAAATATTAATTCATATACATCAAAAGTTACATTAGATGTTATTGGCTTAGTTGGTATGCTTTAAATATGATTTTCATGATATTTTTTTACACTAGCTCAATATATTATTTGCTCATTGCATTTATCATGAATAGGATTTCAATATGAATTCAATTCACTTAATTCTGAAAATGAATTAGCAGCTGCTTATGAACAAATTTTTGATACCAAATTAACATTGAAGAATTTCTTGTTAGTGGTTATATCAGATAAATTCAAATGGATTAGATCTTTGCCATTTGAAGCAAATTTAAGGTTAATTAATTCTGTTAAAGTTGCTGAAAAATTTTCCTTGGAACTAATTGAAGAAAGACAAAAACAGGCACAATTAAAAAAATTGGAAGGGAAAGATTTGTTGTCTTTATTAATCAATATTAATCAAGACTTGCCACCAGAAGAAAAAATGTCTGAATCAGAATTAAAATATCAAGTAAATTACATACATATTATATTATATATTTATTTTGTTATTTTATTTGGTTTTAATTTATTTGTTTTGTGATAGATCATGACATTTTTAGCAGCTGGTCATGAAACCACAGGTACTGCAATTTCTTGGGCATTATATTTACTTGCCAAGCATCCAGAGGTTCAAGATCATCTTCGTCAAGAATTATTAGAAGCTTCATCAGATCCTGATTTGGAAACATCATTTGATAAAATAAATTCCTTAGAATATTTAAATTGTGTATTCAAAGAAACCATGAGACTCATTCCACCAGGTACTTTTATTATTATTATTATGAAAGATGGAAAATTAATATATCAATACAATTATTCATATTTGTGTGTGTATATATATATACTAATACCATATTATTATTTATATCAGTACCAGCAATAGCAAGAAGTTGTGAAACTAATACAACAATTGATGGATACTTTATTCCAAAAGTATTAACAATTTATTTAATTCTAATTTTAACATCTATTGATTTATATATATCTAAATTTTTTTTCTTTTCTGCTTCTCATATATATCATTTAATTAATCAATAGAACACACCAATTGTAGTATCATTATATGCAGTCCACCATGATTCAAAAATTTGGGGAGAAAATCATGATGAATTTGAACCATCAAGATGGTTAAATCCAAAGTTAACATCAGAAATAAATAATTATACATATTTACCATTTTTGACAGGTCCTAGATCTTGTATAGGTTATAAATTAGCCACAATTGAATTCAAGATTATTTTATCTTCTTTGATAAGAAAATTTAAATTTAGGGAAGTTGAAGGTTTTCAGGTCAAAAAAAAAATTGGTGCTATTACTAGACCTGATCCTGGAATTGATCTTTATGTTTCAAAAGTGCAATAATAATAATATCTATTTATGATTGATATGTAGTTGTTTATTTATGTCTTATTCGATGATCTTTAATAACAATTGGTGGGGTGCATATCTAAAATTCCTCAACTCTACTTAAAATAAATAATTAAATATTTAACAAATAGACCTGTATAAATATTTTTCTTGTGCATCAAAGTCTCCTTACTACACATTATTTAGAAATGTGCCAAGATCATGGGAATTATTATTGGAAATTCAACGCAAATCAGACATTGAATTTGTAATAATTTACGTTATAATCATGATAAAATGAAATAGATT